GCTTTCAGGCCCCCTCTGGCTGCTGTGTAGAGCTCTGATTGCAGTGGGGAGGGACAGGCGCAGGGCACCAGTTAGGAGGCTGGTGTAGCAGTTCACGTGAGGGATGGCAGTAGCTAGTACCTTCCAGGACTGTGCCTGAGGAAGCCTCTATGGAGCAAATAATTAGATGACTGCAAATAGTGATAAGTAAACAGGAACAGGATGCTAGGATTCAGGGAGAACCCAAAAGGATTTCCCTAGCCTTCTTGTCTGCTCGGTCTGCTGGATTCATTCAATCACGGTCTACCCGGGCGGCCGGTGCTTAAAATCTAGATCCTGCATTTTCATCAACAGCTATTTTGTTGGTTGTCAGTCAGGTGGATTTGGCCCAGGGCCCAGAGCCGCTGGGTCTCGGGTGTTTCTCATTGTACGGGAGCCGGGAGCCGAAGATGGGGAGGAAGGGGAAGGAGAGAAGAAGGGAGGGACTTCGGGGTCGCGGCGATGGTGGGAGGAGCTCGGGGAGCTGGGGAGGGCTGGGCCTCTCTTGGCCACATCCCAGCTTTGGGACCCTGCGGGTTACATCATGTCACTTAACCCTCAGTTTCTGTTCCTGGAAAATGGTACACTCATTATTTATTTTCTGGTTTAAATGTTTATGTAAAAGGTGTATCTCTTACAGAGCCAAGTACAACCACCTGGAATGTTCAGCTCAATGAATTTTATTTTATTTTTTATTTTACTTTTTTTTTTTTAAAGATTTTATTTATTTATTTGAGAAAAAGAGAGAGAGAGAGCACAAGCAGGGGAGAGGGGCTGAGGGAGAGGGAGAAGCAGACTCCCTGCGGAGCAGGGAGCCTGACTCAGGGCTCCATCCCAGGACCCTGGGATCATGACCTGAGCCGAAACCAGATGTTTAACAGACTGAGCCACCCAGGCGCCCTCCAGCTAAATGAATTTAAAATGTGTGTGTGTGTGTGTGTGTATAAACCATGTAACTACCACCAGATCCAGTTATGGGACATTTCCAGCTCCCTAGCAGGTTCTCTTGTATCCACTCCTAATGAATATCACCTCCAACATACCCATTGTTCTAACTCAGATCAACGTCTAGTAGTTATGCCTGTGCTTGAAGTTCTTACACATGGCATCCTGAAAAAATGTACTCGTTTGTGTCTGGCTTCATTTGTTCCTTACTATGTTCGGTGACATTCCAGTCTTTCATATTGTTACATGTGTTAGTAGTTTGATTTTTTTTTTTTTTTTTTTGAGAGAGAGAGAGAGAGACTCTCTAGCAGACTCCCAGCTGAGCATGGGATGTGACATGGGGCTCGATTTCATGACCCTGAGATCACGGCCTGAGCCAAAATCACAAATCCGATGCTTAACCAACTGAGCCATCCAGGTGCCCCTGATTCTTTTTTTTTTTTTCCCCTTTTTTTTTTTTTGAGAGGGAGAGAGCACAAGCAGGGGAAGCAGCAGAGGGAGAAACAGACTCCCCACTGAGCATGGAGCCCGATGTGGGGCTCGATCCCAGAACCCTGGGATCATGACCTGAGCCAAAGGCAGATGCTTAACCAACTGAGCCACCCAGGTGCCCGTGATTCTTTAAAAAAAAAAAGCTTTGGCTGTGTAGTGATCTACTGGGTGCACGTGCCACAATTTTAATCTTTTTTGACTACTGATGGGCCATTCCCATTACTTCTAGTTTTTAGCTATATGAATAAAACTTATGGACATTTCTCATGGATGTTTTTTGATGCACATCAGTGCTGCTTCCCCCCACCCCCTCCCCACCCCAGGAAGGAACGAAGTTGCTGTGTCACCATGTAGTCGTGTGTTTAGCTTTGGCAGAAAGTACCTAGCAGTTTTCCAAAGTGGTTGACCAATTTACACTCCCGCTAACGGAGTAGGAGAATTTTCCTACTTCTGCGTCTTGGCGGAAACTCTGTATTTTCAATTTAGTCACTCCAGTAGGTTGTCATGGCTGGGGTTTTATTTGCATTTCGCTGGTGACTAATGATGTTAAGAACCTTCTCATATGTTTGCTCAATCATTATTTGTTGAAAGAATGAACAAAATGTGTGGATGAAAACGGAACATAGCTGGCCCTGTCTTGCCCTGCTGAAAATCTACCGATGGCTCCCCATGGCTCTCAGGGCCGAGCTAAAACCCCTCCCTCGGCCAACAAGATCCTGCAAGTTCTGGCCCCTTCTGATGCCTCTTGCCCCGGATGGGTCCCTTCTGCTTCTGTCTCTGGATTCCTGCCACCCAGAGCGTCTTTCGGTTCTTCTGAGGACTTGCTCTGTCCTGTTCTGTTTTCTGCAGGCCCAAGACCTGGCTCATCACTTGTATCTCAGCTCAAAAGTTCCATCCTCCCAGAAGCCTTCCTTGACCTCCACTGCCAGCAAGCCAGGACGCTTGTTGGCTCTCTCCCACTTTTCTTCCTAGCTTCTACCACAGCTGTAAATGGCCTTTCTTTATGTGATAATTTAATTAACCTGTTCCCCTACCATTAAAAAAAATACTTAAAAAAAACCTCAACACTTTGGGGCACCTGGCTGGCTCAGTCAGTGGAGCGACCGACTCTTGATCTTGGGGCCTTGAGTTCAAGCCTCACGGTGGGCGTAAAGATTACTTAAAAAAAACCCACCAACAACAATAAAAACAACCCTAACACTTTCCGCTCCATAGGAACAGCAGCTTTCTCTCGTTCCTAGCAAGACCTGGCCTATAATAGATATTCAATGTATTTGTTGAATGTTAAATCTCAAAGCAACTACCCAAGGAGCATTATCACTTGAAAGTACTTATCCCTTAAAAACTCACTCTCAGAGGAACCTGGGCCAATTAAAAAAAAATCACAGAGGGGTGCCTGGGTGGTGCAGTCGGTTAAGCGTCGGACTCTTGGTTTTGGCTCAGGTGGTGATCTTATGGTCATGAAACCGAGCCCTGTGTCGGACTCAGCAGGGAGTCTGCTTGCGATTCTCTCTCTCCCTCTCCACCTGCCCCTCCCGCTCATGCTCTCTCTCACCCACTCTAAAATAAATAAATCGATCTTTAAAAAAAAAATCATAGAAACCAATCCTATCTCCCTCCCTAGGTCCTGTGGGGGTCTCATATTCAATCACTCTTTTTGTTTTCTTTGGTGCCCCTGATGTGTGTGTGTGTGTGTGTGTGTGTGTGAGTGATGGAAACTATACATCTGGCAGGGGATTAAGGAGTGGAGGGGAGAAAGGTGTTGCAAGTATCCACAGTGAAAACCCCCAGGCCCCAGCCCCAGCTCCTGTGTCACTGACTGCCTGGACATTAACCGGTTCTGAGGCGATATGGCAAAATGGTCAGTGTTACAGATTCCTCTCTTCCCAACCAGGCTGCCCGAGTTCAAAGTGTGATTTAGCCACCTACTGTCTACATAATCCCTGACAAGTTACTCTGCCTCTTTGGGGCTCAGTCTCCTCAACCGCAAAATGGGGATAATAATAATACTAACCTCATGGGGTTGTTGTGAGTATTTAAGTTAATTCATGTTCATTGCTAAGAACCCGGCCTTAGGAAGCTCCATGACTCTAAATGCCTGTTAATTATGCCTGCAGACGGTCCCAGACTTAAATGACGGTTTGACATATGATTTTTCGATTTCACGATGGTGTGAAAGCTGTATACATTCTGTAGAGACTGGACTTCGATTTTTGAATCTGGATGTTGTCCCGGGCTAGTGAGACGCCCTATGATACTTTCTCACCATATGCAACAAGCTGCAGCCCCCAGTCAGTCACACAATCAAGAGCACCTATAACTGATACACGGACAAATATTCTTTCACTTTCAGTATGGTATTCAGTAAATTACAGGACGTATTCGACACTTTATTATGAAGGCTTTGTGTTAGATGATTTTGCCAACTGTAGGCTAATGTACGTGTTCTGAGTCCATTTAAAGTAGCCTAAGCTAAGCCATGATGTTTGGTAGTTTAGGTACATCAAATACATTTTCAACTTAGGATATTTTCAGCTTCCATGGGTTTATCCCATGGAAGCCCCACATGAGTTGAGAAAGGTCTATATGTCTCCAGGCCTCAGTTTCTTTACCTCTAAGGTGATGATCAATAACCTGCCTGTTTGTTGAGTGCTGCTCAAAGATGGAGAAAATGCCAAGGTGCTTTGTACACACGTGGGGGCGACAACTGTTTGGGAGGTTGGGAGTCTTCCAGCCACGAGTGCTGGGAGTCCAAAAGGTCGTGGGTTCAAAAACCACTTCTGTTATGGCAGCTGTGTGGCCTTGGGCAAGTCATTTCACCTCTCTGAGCCTCAGGTGCTTTGTACACATGTGGGGGGCGACCACCGTTTGGGATGGAGACTGGAGTTTTGGGGGCCTTGAGTGCTCTGGCGTCAGATGGGTTATGGGTTCCAAATCCCACTTCTGCTATTGGCAGCTGTGTGACCCTGGGCAAGCCACTTCACCTCTCTGGGCCTCAGTTTCTCCATCTGTGAAGGGTTGACTCCGAAGTGTATGCACCTCCTACTGTCTCCGTGTCAGCTCTGGGCGTCCGCGGGCTGCGTTGGCCCGGTGGCCCTGGAGAAGCCACTCAAGCTCCGTGCCGCTAGCGAGGATCCAATGAGGACGCAGCTAAGCCGTCTGGCACTCTCGCTGGCCCAGGGCTCAGTACCTGGTTTCTCCTGGTGTTACTATTACTGTTGCTGTCGTCGCCGCCACCGCGGGACTGGAAAACGGGTGGCAGGGTGCCGCCGCTCCCGGAGGGTACGCGCCTCCGCCCGGGCCCCCGCCGGGCTGTAGGGCCGGAGGAGGGGGGCGGCGGGCAGGGCGCAGTGGGGCGCAGCGCAACCTCCCCGCGCGCCCGCGCCCCGGGGCAGGAGGGGAGCCGGGCGCCGGGGCGGGGCGGGGCGGGGCGCCGCATCCCCGTGACGCGCCGGCCAACCAGGCGGCGTTGCGGCCCGGGCCCCGGCCCCCTCCGCCACCGCCTCCCGCCCTCCCGCCGCCGCCGCCGCCGCCGCCGCCGCCGCCGCCGCCGCCGCCGCCGCCGCCAGCAGCCGCCTGCCGCCGGGCCCGTCCGCCCGCCCGCCCGCCCGCCGCATGGCGCTCCGCGGCTTCTGCAGCGCCGATGGCTCCGACCCCTTCTGGGTACGTACTCGGCGGCCGCCTGGGCTGCGTGGGGCCGCCGGGAGGGGGCAGCCGCCGGCTGGCAGCCCGGCCGGCGAGGGGAAGCACCCGGCGGGAAGGGCCCGGCCCGCAGTCCTCAGGGCACCCGCGGCCGCGCGGAGCCGCGTTGCCCGGTTCTGCAGCCAGTGCGGGGGTGCGGGGTGGGAGGTGGGGGTCCGCGCCCGGCCCTTCGCGGCTGCCGCTGATTTTGGGGGGGGGGTGGAAACTTGGGCGGCTCAGTTCCCGGGAAGCAGGGCGGGGGCTTTGCATGTGCGCGGGTCCCGGGCTTTAGGGGAGACGTGGGGGGCCGGAGCCTGGGGGAGAGGGCTTCCTGCTTTGAGGCTGCCGCCTGCAATTAAAAATAACCTTCCGCGGAAGGGGACGCCAGGGATGGGGGGGCGGGCAGCACAGGGGGTTGTCTCCTGGATTAAGTTCTCCTATCTCCTTTGTGGGTTGGGGTACCCCCTTTTCACAAAGAACGCCCCCTTCCCAAAGGTCTGAGCTGGGAAGAGGCTCGGGGCTGTGGGAAGGGATGTTTGCCCCCTTCGCGGTTGTGCTGCATCAACATGACTCTCCTGTGGTTAGATTTTTTTTTTTTTTTTTTTTTTGCCATTTTTTTACTTTCTGTCTGCCTCCTTAATTACTATAGGGGAATTTGGGGAACAGGCGGGGAAGAACGTAGGGCTGCTCACCGCTGCCATGTCTCACCTGACCCTTGGGTAGGTTTTGAGGTTCCCCCACCCAGGATGCCCCAGACCCTGGTACCTTTGTCATCCCACCTCTGTAATGTGAGGCTCCTCTCTGTTGGGGATGCACGTGGCTTTTACCCTGGCAAGTTTTCCTCTGCGTGTTCAGTGCTGCGCATGGCCCCGGCTCCCGAGTCCACTTTCGGTGGTTTAATCCCCACTGTCTTGGGCTTTAGCTTCCCTGTAATGCGATTTACCCCTTTGTTCCAGGAGGGCACGTCAGTGTCACACTATCTTGATTACTGGTAAACACAATAGGCAAATCTGGACATGATAGTTTTTTTCCCCCTTTTGTGTAGGACTCAGGAGAGAAAAACAGCTTTGGCTCTTTGGAGCTGGTGATTAGCATCCAAAAATACCTCCTTGTCCTGTTTTATGGCCCTTTCCTTGCAAAATGCCTTTGGAGTGTTGAAAAAGTCATCTCTGAGGGCCCCAGGGGAAGGCTTTATTTTGGGGGGTATCAACCAAATACACCTCATTATGTCTCCAATTTTCAGGCCAGTGGGATCAGAGATTTATTCTTGGGCTGAAAATCAGAGAGATGCTTTTGCATTCAGGTTTGGGGAGGGGGGGATTGGAGAACAGAGCTTTGCAAAGTAGGGCTCTGGGAAAACCTGTGGAGTCCCTGCTCCCTATACCAGGTGTAACAGCACCAAGATTATTTCTGCACAGACCCAGAGGGGGATCTGGTCTAGTGTGGCTGTGAATTTTGGAGTGTTTCCTTGTTTATTTCCTTCTCCTAGGTTACACAGGGGGAAAAATAGGCCACCATAAATTAGATTTTGCATCAGGATGTGCTTTATTGATGACTGCTGTCAGTCCATGATTAAGGAGATTTTCCAAAGCACAGTGTGTTTGGGGGTGCTGTACGTTGATTTCGCTTAAGAAGCTCACCCAGGAAAACCAGTTGTGTTTTTTCCTCTTTGGACTTTTTGCTACAGAAATGATCAGGTGGTTGTTTTGCTTGGGGAAGGCAATGGCTGGTCTTCACGGCCAGACCCTCCCTCTTCACCCTGTCTTTGACCTTGCAGACTTTCCTCTGTCTCTTCTCCTTCTGGATTCCTGGATGCCCCAGTTTTGGTGGGGGAGGGGGGATTTGGAGCCTGGAACCAGAGTTGGAGAACTGGCCGGAGAACTTCCAGGCAGCAGGAGAAACCAAATGGAACAGAAAGAAGGTAGCTTCTGTGTTTTCTAGGATGGCATACTCAAGGCCAGCCTCCTAGCCAGTTAAACTGTGACCTGGGCCAAGAACGTTCTGTGCTCAGGTTCCTCATCTGTAAAATGGGGGCAGGATGCAAAACAAAACAAAACAAAAACCAAAAAAACCCACAAAACACCCAACTTTTGGGGCTTTTTATGGTTATGGTTGTTTGAAGAGTAAATGAGATCATCTATGTAAGAGGCTCAGCCTGTCCCCTGAACAGAGTTAAACGATGCTTTTTTAATCATTCTTTCTGAAGATGAAGTTGTAGGTTTCCAGTTGCTTGTCCTTCCTTTGGACTCACTTTTTCTTCATTTGGTGGGGAAGGGATTGGGCTTCACCCCTCCCCCCCGCCCCAATATGCCAGGCTTCTGCCTGACCAAGGTCGTGTGTTCAGAAATTAAAGGGACTGGCCCACGTGAGACTCTTATCAGAGCTTTGTTCCTGGGCCATTGCCTGCCTCTGAGCTTCAGGAAATGTCCAGAAAAACCAGAACGTGGAAATGGCCCATGATGAGGGTTCCAGTGACTTAACCACCTTCACCCAGCCAGATGTTCTGGGATGAGAAGAGAGGAGCTTCATTACCCAAACAGGGGCCGAGTTCACCAACACTTGGCTTGTTTTTTTCCATCATTACTGGAAGGAGGGGGCTGTTTTGTGGCTGGTGTTTGTATGATGGTTGGGAGAATGGGCCTGGGCCTCTCCCTGGGGGTTAAGTTTTAAAAATTATTTATTACGCTGCAGACCCAGTGTAGAAAAATTGCAAACATGTCAAAAAGTGGAGAAAAAATATTAGTAAGTAGTGCAGTGCCTCAGAGCAGAGCGCCTGCATCCCCTGGCTTCAAATCCTGGCTCTGCAGCTCAGGAGAGTTACGTCTCTGCATGCCTCAGTTTCCCTATGTGGAAAATGGGGGTGATAACACAGTACGAAGCAAAGAGCTGTGATGTAGGAACAAATGAGCGAATCCTTGGCAGGTGCGTAGAATATTGCTGCTTGGTATACACTTAGCGCTCAGTAATTGTAAGCGGTCGACTCCGCTTGGAATTCCCTTGGAATTCACAGCTGCCCCTGCTGTGGCTGGTGGTGAACGGAAGTAGCAGGTCCGTGTTGCCGTTCATGGAATCCTGCTAGTATATCACCCCTAAGCTGCTATTTGCCTCCGAGAATTCAGTAAATCTCTGAATATTTGAATCGGCAGTCAAGGGGTGGGAGAACAGGAATATTTTAGAAGCTATTAGAAATTCCCCCTGGGGTAAGATCTGGCCTTGGCGTCAGTGTAATTTGTCCCTTAATAGCTCCTCCTGGCTTCACAACAATCTTTGAAGAATATAATTCCACCCCCAACTCCCCTACCCCCCCAACCCCCGCCAAGTTTCCTGTTGGTTTTCAGACTCATCCCTTTGCTTCCCTCCACCTTCCCGTCTTCTTCCCCTTTTTGTTCACCCCTCTTTCCAGTCTCCCCCTCTCCCTTCCTTTGGATGGTTAGAGCTAAAAGGGACCCTGGAACTAATGGGGTCTTCCCCTCACCCCACTTCCTGCATGAATGCAGGAATCCAAGGCGCGGAGTGGCAGCATGATGGGACCAAGGTAATAAAGTAAATGGCTTGGGGAGGAGAAAGGGGGAACCTTTGAGAGGACAGGGCAGGGCAACAGCTAATTCGGGGTTCCCGGGTTGCCTTATGGCTTTGCCCTATTCTCCTTTCCCCAGCTGGACCGGCTCCATTGGTGATACTTTTGGAGGTGACTTGCTTTTTGAATGTGGTGGTGGACTCAACTTTCCAACCGGAGAAGGGGGGAGTGTTCCAGCCTAGCCTGTCCCAAGCAGAACTTCGGACCCTCCTGATGTTAGTTAATACCAGCCCTGTTCTCGGAGGCCCAGGCCCCAAACCTGCAGCATCCTTGACCCTCCCTACCCTTCCATTCCACATCTCAGCTGTCAGCACATCCTGTTGCCTTTTTCTTCAAAATATTTGCAAATCTGCCAGCTTCTCACAGCCTCCCCCCACCTCCACGCCCCTACCATTCTGGCCAGAGCCACCACTGTGGATCGGCTCACTCAGGGATTTGAACATTCCCTCTGTACTGCTCTCCCTGTTTCCATCCTGGACCCCTAGAGTCTCATCTCAACCCAGCAGCCATTGGAGGCCTGTTCAAGACACAGGTCAGGTCGGGTCCCCCCTTCTGTTTGAAATCCTGCATTGAGTCCAGACTTCGCTCAGATAGAAGCCAAAAGGCTTAGGCCTGCAAGAGTCGGGGGAATCTGGCCCCATCGCCTCTCTGAGCTCCTCATCTGCTATTTTCTGTCTCACTTCACTCCTGCCACACTGGTTACTTGACTGCCTCAGGGCCTTTGCACTTGCGTGGAAGGCTCCTTTACCTTCAAATATTTGCTCAGATGTCACATAGGCAGTTTTTCTCTGACTCCCTGCCACTTCCTTGTGCCCCCAGTCCTTCCCTGCACTCCCTCCTCTACCCTTCCCCCCCAACCAATCTAATACATCAGATATTTTACTTATTTTGTTTATTCTCTGTAAACTCCCACCAACAGGTCAACTTCACAGGAGCAGTGTGTGTTTGTTTTTTTTGGTTTTTTTTTGGCTTGTGTTTATTTATGGCCACAGTCCTAGCACATAGAATGGTGCCTGGGACCTAGTAGGTGCCCAGTAAATATTTCTGGAAGGAATAAATGACACGAAGCACTGGAATGGCTTTTGAGCTGGGCTGCAGCCTCTCTCCAGAGGTCTCTAAGGACAGAATAGTCACTGACCTGTCTGGAATGGATGCCCAGGGAGACCCAGCCCTCTGGCTTCCCTGCTTGACGGCTTAGCGTCTCCCTTGCAAGGGTCAGCGCTGAACCTTGGCCCTCCCTCCTCTCCCAGGACCCAGTGCCTCAAACAGAGTAGGCTCTGCTCAGCGTTTGAATTTGAGTGTGAGAGGTCAAGATCTAGTCTACCAGTGTGCTGGTTTGGCTTTATTTCGGTTATGGATTACCGTCACCACCACGATTGGCTGATTTTTGAAAGAGTTCACAGGA